AGCAGGAATCAAAGGTGATCATGTCCTGAGTTTCTTATAGATTGACTACAAACAGTATCTCTTTGAAGAAAATCAGAATTGTCAAGGCTGTTTTGACTTTTACCAGCTCCTTGTCCTGATTCACACTGTCCTTTGAAGAACAGGTACATGGTGTTTTCCCATCTCCCTCTTTAAAACTGGAAAGTTACTGTACTATTTAGCACAAAAAGTGAGGCTGCACAAGCAACACAAAGATTCACACAAACATCTCACTATTGCTGGTGAATTTTCCATTTGACACAAACTCACAAAACAGCTTTTTTCCCTGAGAATCAATCCAAAAAGCAGCCTCTTCACTCCTTGTAAATGAGCCCTAGAGCCATATTTCCACTACAACCTACTCTGTCCCGTTCATGTTCTCTTCTTTTTTTGTGTCCTATTACCTGGATGAGCCAAGACAAGAGCTAAAAGTGAGGTTCTGGACTGCATTATTACATGAGTTGTCTCCAAACAGGAGCAGTATCAATCTTTGATCTCCAACATGCTCTGAAGCTTTTTGGCACACAAGTTAATCAATTACAGTATTGAAAACGATGTAGAAATCATTAAATCTTTTCAAACGTACAGCAGATACATTCCAGGCTATCCTAGGGTAAAAGTGCAGCCCCTGTAATACCCAGTGCCCTGCAAAGACAGACGGGTTTCATTTACAAGAATTTCAAGTTTACATGAAACACTTCATATTAAACTTATTCCCACTTCCAGTGCTCACAAATGGATACAATAAGGTTACTCCCGGGCCACCAGAGAAATGCTCTGAAGATAATCTGCAGATGCCATTATAAAGTCAGTCCATTCCTTGGCCAGCTCATCAATGGAGACCTCCTCCCCACCATATTCCTGTGGGAGAATGCTGACTGGGAAGTGCTCGCTCAGACTCTGCGTGTAGTTATTTCCATGCATGTAGACCTACAACAAAACATGAAGAGCATTTACTTGGACATGAATGTCTCCTGAGAGAGAACAGTCAGCAAAGCAAGTCAGTGCGAGAGCTGAAGCCACTAGCTTGGTTTGACTAAACAAGTGTACTTGTTCATAATGAGCTCCTTAAATGAATCATAAAAACGTTTTGGGTGGAAGAGACCTTTAAGATCATTGAGTCCAACCATTACCCCAGCACTGCCAGGTCACCACTAACCCATGTCCCTCAGCACCACATCTTCACAGCTTTGAAAGCCCTCCAGGGATGGGAATTCCACCACTGCCCTGGCCAGCCTCTTCCAGGGCATAACTCTTTTGGGAAACAAATTTTTCGTAATATCCAACCTAAACCTCCCCTAGTACAGCTTGAGGCTGTTTCCTCCTGTGATATTGCTTGTTCCTTGGGGGAAAAGCCCAACTCCCACCTGGCTCCAATGTCCTCTCAGGGAGCTGTGGAGAGCTAGAAGGTCTCCCCTGAGCCTCCTTTGCTCCAGGCTCAACAACCCCAGGTCCATCAGCTGCTCCTCACCAGAGTGCTCTCTTGTGCTCTGTCTGGGCCCTTCCCCAGCTTCATTGCACTTCTCTGGCCATGCTCCAGCCCCTCAATGTCCTTCTTGGATTGAGTGGCCCAAAACTGAACCCAGGAGTCAAGGTGTGGTCTCCCCAGTGCAGAGTACAGAGGGACAATCCCTGTCCTGGTCCTGCTGGCCACAGTAGCACTGACAGAAGCCAGGATGCTGTTGGCTGCCTTGTGCCACCCGGGCACAGTGCTGAGAGAATAAAGTACCTCACAAGCGAGTTCCCCGTGGGTGATGAAACTCTGTCCTGCTCAGGATCTGCATGCAGCTCGATGAAAAATGGACTTGAGAACTGCATTTGATGCAGCTGTGAGCACAGGAGCCAAAACACTTGCTCAGACTGGTTTAGTGACCCTGGTGAGGGTACATGCTACATCCAGCTACAGCGAGCTAAACCATGGGAACACTGGGTGTGGGCTTGTCATGACAGATATCCTGTACTTGCTTTTCAGTCATTTCCAAGAAGAGAATAGTGTTTGGCCATTGCTATCTGGTCTCAACCACATCTTTAAAAACATTTTGTATTATGTATATCAGTTCAGACAGGTGCCAAGGAGATACTCAAAAGAATCTGTATCTCGGTCCTTCTGTTTCAGTTGCAAATGAGAACCCAGACTACTCCTCCACTTTAACCCTTATAATACTGTAGTTTTGGTGCTTGTCTTCTTGCCTTACTGTAGCTATTCTGAAGCCATGTTCATTAATTCCAGTCAGACACTTTTATAGGTGGCTTGTTAACATCTGACAAGAATTTTGACAGAAAGTAAAGGCTGCAACTGGAGGGAGAAGTAGACAGGACAGGTGACCCTAAATTGACCAAGGGGTATTCCATCCCATATCCATCATATTCAGGATAAAGCTGAAGGATCACGAGGTTCAAGCCCTTCCCTTCCTCTCTTTTGCTGCTTCTTCAATGGCCAGCATCCAAGGAGGACTTCATCCATTCTGCCTCTGATCCTGAGCCGTGTGTTCCTCAATCCAGTTCCAGAATCCAGCTCCTGGACCCAGTTGCCATCTGCGGCTGAGTCCAGCCTGGGACTTTTTCCCAGGGGCTGCTCCACAGCTTCAGGGGTGACAGTGACATATTGCCATCAGGGGGGAGATGGGTTCCATACTGGTTTTGTATATATTTGTATGTATTCCATTTTATTATTATCATTAGTAGTAGTAGTATTTTCATTAAAGCATTTTCTAATCAGTAACTCTCTCTCCCTTATTCCCTTCTCCTCCCCTTTGAGGGGGAGAGTGGTTAACAGAGAGTACCTCCTACAGGTCTGGGGGCAACCCTGACCCTGACAACATGCTACCAAAAGGGGGCTGGCAAATAATGCTAACAACAACCAGAAAAATCTAGATTTACTGTCCTGGAGTGCTACTGCAAATGCACGGGATCCACATGCTGAGTCTAGGAGGCTTCAGAATGGGCACGAGAGGCAGAGCTGCTTATTTTGTACCTGAGTTCTGCTGTTAACTTTTCACAGTACTTCTTTTTGTGCTACTTGAAACCTCCAGGATTCTTCCTAGGCTACAATAAACCACAATCATTGGCATGCTTTTGCATCCAAATACAAACAGGGTTTTCAAATTTAAAACTGTGTAACGTTTTAAAACAACTCAGAAGCTGTTTGCAAAGGAGCTTTGAACTTAAGCCTGATGTTTGATGCGTAAATGCCTCTGCAGGTCTTTCAGAAGGAAAAAGTGGTCTTCTGCTACTTCTGCACAACTTTGTCATTTATAGGTAGAGTGCTGGGAGATCCAGGACCTAGATCTTCCTAGTTCTGCAGAATTGTGGTGTGACGTCAAGCAAATTATTTAACCTCTCTGTTTCATGGCAGTTTTTGTCTTTAGAGTGGTGATAACAGCAACCACTTGCAACTCTCACGCTGTTGATAACACTGCAGGTGCTTACAGTTAGATTCTGGAGGCCTGTATGGCACTAGCACACAGAAATTATTTAGGCTCTTCATTGCCCAGGAGTACCAGGTCCTAAGGGAAGTTCTACAGATTGTCATGGACGGCTTTTGTGGCAGAAAGAAATATTTGTGTGCACTCACCCGTTCTTTTATTTTTTCAGTGAGAAAAGGCTTAATTAGAGCGAAGACTGGATGGAAGAATAAAGGCTCATTAATCAAGTGGATACCTCGAACTTTTAATGGGAAGGAATCCTGTCAAAAAACATTAAAAACAGGGTAAGAAAAAAATATATTGAAACAATTCTACTGTTAAGGTCAAGTCTTTGAAAACTATCTAGTCCAAAGGTTAGAGCAGTCATCCTGATCTTGGCAATTCCTGCACTTGAGTGTTCTTAATTTACACTGCCCCAGCCACACCTAGAAAAATCACATCTTGTTCTTCCCACTAGAAGGAAAAAAAAAAAATCAGTATAAAGAAAGACTGACTATTAAGAAAAAAAAAAACCCAACTAACCAACCAATCAAAAAAAGCCAAATAAACAAGAAAACCCTCAGCGAATTGCACACAAGTAATGTACACAAAGCTTGTGCTTAGCCTCTCCTCAGAGGTACAGTTTTTCACAAGAGATTCTGCTGCTAATTTACCAAAGAGCTATCTAGCCATGTGCTTTCCTTGGCAACTCACAGCTTAATGGATACTGTCTAAATATAGATAAACATAAATATAGGAGCTTCAAGGTTTTAAGTTAATTAAATTTTATTTATAATTTAAAGACAAGCTGTGAAATTACTGGGGGTTTGCCCAAGCCAGAAGTTCAGCTTTAGAAGACTACTGTTGTAGTCTTGTAAAAATAAACATTATCTGTAAAATTAAAATTATTATTTTAAAAATTAACTTTAAAAATAAAAATTATTTTAAAAATATTATCTGCTATACAGCCTTTCTAATTTGAAATACTTCTAAATGAATCTTGAATGCAAGCAGAAATCCCAGAACTCTGAAAGTTAAAAGAGAACAGGGCAGTGCTCAAAGACAACATTATTAATGGCTTATGTACAGCTTCCATTCCTACCCCACCTGATACTACCCCTGCAACTGGAGGTTTTTTTGCTTATAAAAACAATACTTCTCACAAACATTTCTCCCCGTAAGTACAGAAGCTCTTCTCACACTATCTCATGTGCTCTTCCATAGATAAAAAAAAAAAACAAACCCCACACATTTGTTCAGTGCTACTCCTTTTAAATTTTAATGTAAAATAGAGACCTGAAAACGATCAGATTATAGGTCTACTGCGTGTTATGTGTTATCATAAACTTGAAGTCTGTTGCCCTGTTTTTCACAAAACAATTTGGTTTTGCCTGGGCTAACAGATTTTTCAAGATTATGTCATTTACTACTCTTACTAATACTTTCTGTTCTTGAAGACATACTTCCTTTCTATTGTATTTCTTCATACTTGAGAGTCATTTGCAAGATACATTTCTTAAGGAAAACACAGGGTTGACACTGAGGTTGCTTCATTTTTACTTATAAGCATATTGAACAATACTAAGACTATCTCTGGGTGAGATATATGAACCCAGTTCAAGTGATGAAAGGAATCTGAAAAAAATAATCTGTTAAAACTTATTTCTCTTCTTACAAAAGAACAGTGGAAATACACTGTTGTTTTTTTTTCCTTCCCCTAAAACAAACATTGAGAAGCTTGAAAAACTGAAATAGGTCAAGATGGAAAAATCACATTCAAAGAATTTCCTGGTTTAAGATAATGGATTGAATACTTTAAATCACAGAATCACAGAATGGTTTGGGTGGGAAGGGAGGTTTGAAGCTCATCTAGTCCAGATCCTTGCGGTGAGTAGGAACATCTGCAACTGGAGCACATTGCTCAGAGCCCTGTGCCATCTGACCTGGAATGTTTCCAGGGCTGGGGCATTTGCAAATCCTATTCTACCTCCTTCCTCCTCTATTTCAAGGTTAGATAATTTCTAGCAACTTGTTTACTACCTCAGAAATCAACTGAAAAACTCACTAGCCCTGTTCTCATGAGATCTGGCTCAGGACTGTCTGAACATCAAGAGTTCTTCTAGAGGTGAAAAATTTGGAACACCTGCTGGGTTTACTAAATTTTACAGTAGCTATCAAAATAAGAAGAGTGGGTGAAGTTCCAGTGATGTTAGTGAAATGACTAAGCTTTGATTGAGCCTCAGATATGAACCTCACCAAGTAAAAGCAAGAAATTATCCTCATGGCTCATTTCCACAGCACAAGCTAACAGGTTTTGGTAACAAGTTAGTACTATCTTGCTCTTCACTACTCTTAGCACATACTGTTTCTCATCTTCTCTGAGCCTCAGGGAAAAAAAGCTTTGAATGTTGAGTTGATGCAGAAAAGAATGGAAGAGAGGAGATGCAATGGGGTACTGAACATGGATCCTTACAAAACAGGGCTTTAGCTACTCTGACACTCATTAAATTCTTGTAACAGGTCAGCAGAGCTCTTATAAAACCTGAGAGGTTAAAGGGCATTTACAGTCAAATCAAGCACAACCTGTGATTTTTGAACAGATTTAAGATTTTGTTCTTTTAAGCTGCGTAGATTCTAAGAAGATCTAAGGAAGGAAGATGTTCTATAGCTTAGAAGAGGTGAAAAATTGGGAGTTAGAGCAATGAAGCAGCACAAAGCAGGACATGATGCTTACTGTGAGAACAGCAGCAATTTTCTTGGCCACTGCTGGACTGATTTGAAAGGCATGAGCAAACTGCCACCCCTGAAGATCAAAGATAGCTTTGACTCCATTCCGCTGGGTCTCAATCTCCTTTACAATGAGTTCAGATGTGATGAGACTCACACGAAACACGTCGTAGGCTGTAAATAACTGGGGATCCCATTGTCCTGAAGAGTAAATAGATGACACTGCGTTACCCTGGGAATACCACATGCACCTCTACTTTTGCTTGCTACTGCTTCTAAGGTGCTTCTCAGGAACATGAAGCAAGCAGCAGTATCACAGGCCCTGAAATAAACCCATGTGCCAGCACTGATGTTATTTTGTCTGCCTGCTCTGTCACTCATCTTTTACAGCCTTTTTGTAGATGGTACCACCTCATGGTCGATGGTTGTAAATGCCACCTGATGTAGTAGGTTCCACCTATGACCGTAGCCTCCAGTACAAGGTTTTGAGAGCAACAGCTTAATTCAGTAACAGTCACACTATCAGAAACTACAGACCATCAATCCAATCAGTTAACATAATTTTTCTTCAGTACAGTAATTCTGCCAAGATTCAGTGAATCCTACTTGTTTTTCTGAGGCATGGGCAAAGCACTGCATGGGATGAACCTTAGCCCTGGATGAGAGCTTCAGAGAGTACAACTTTCCACTAGACCAGCTGATAATAAAACAGCTTTTTCAAAGTTGACTAAAATAATATCTCTGTCCAAAACAAGCACAAAGAAATATGGTGACATGATCACCAAATGCCATCTTTTTTTAAAAGATTTTTGGGAGTGCCTCAAATGAACCAAGAATCTTCAGAGTGTTGTTAGATACTCTCTAACTACACTTGAATGATGAATATTTGAATGAAGTGAACTTCTCATCCACATCTAAACCAAACACTGGCATATGACTAGGCATACACCTTTTTTTCTGATCTCCCCTCTGTGTGCTGCATCTGCACCAGCACCACAGGCTCAGCACATGGCTCTGAATATCTGCATAGAAACAAGTAATTGCTGGGACACTCAGACCCAAATAACCACATATTCTTACATTTTTTAGGCTTTTCAGACTTCTTTTGATACAGACAAGAATTCCACTAGAGTAAATGAGTTCTTCATGAAGGATTGTACAGCTTTAGCCATACCAGTATACAAGTCACATGATTTAACTGGTAGCAGCTCAATAAATTCACCTTTACATTAAAGTTATTTCTAATGGAATATAAAGATGTTACCTTTCTAGTTAAGACATTCTGATATTATCTAATTCTATCAATGCCTGGTGTTGTACCTATAAACCTGCTGAAATTCTGGTAATTAAAAAGAGCACAGAAATTGGGGGAGGGGGAGGGAAGAAACAGAAAAACCCAAACCACCAGTGCCAGAGTCAGGTGTGAAAACAGGTCCAAGCCATGTTGTCACTCACCAATTCTGTATATTAGAACTTTGCTTCCATGTGGGTCCCTGGATCTCAGGACTCCATGATAACCAGCTTGCAAAAGACCAAGAACAGAAGATGGTTGTAAATCTGCACTTATTTCTGGACATTCAATTCTCCACTTCTGGTAATTCTTCAATAACTGGAAAGAAAAAAAAAACAACATAGATGTCAAAAAGTATCAAGTATTGTATGAAGAGCACAGTTAAAAAAGTTTTCAATGTGTGGTCACCATCAAATTTCATTAATTAAATTAGTTATAATTTCATTGTATATTTTAAGCAAATCATTCCTAGAAGCAGTGGATTGAACATATATGGATGAAATATATGTCTATTATAAAACTAGGACTAATCAGCATGGATTTACCAAG